AGGGGCGGGGCAGAGCGGACCATCTCTCGCGGCAGACCGAGGCGCTCGCACTCTGTACTTCTTCACCTCTCGCTGTAAGTGCACCGGCCATGGGCGGCCGTGGCCCATGGCGCGGCCAGCCTGAGTCCCGCTGAACTTTCCGGGACGGCCATGGGCGATCGCGAGCGCAACAAGAAGCGGCTGCTGGAGCTGCTGCAGTCGGTGGGCACCGGCAACGCGCACTGTGCCGACTGCGGGGCTGCAGGTAAGGGCGCGGCGGCACCTGAGGCCCGCGAGCCGGAGCCGGACCCCTAGCCCGCCAGACTCCTTCCCTCACATCAGACCCTTCCGGCTCCCGCGAGACCCGGACCCGCGCCCGCCCAAATTATGACTTCGGACCCGGGCCCCGACCTTCCTTTCCGCTTCCAACGCGCCGCTCTACCAGACCAGACCGCTGACTTCTCCACTCTGAACTCGTGCCCCTGACGGTCCTCTGTTCTCCCCCTAAAGACACTGCCCACCCGGGCCAAAGTCCCTAGCGTCTTCACTAGACCCAGGCGCTTTTTACCCTCGGATTTAAATCGCTCACACCCCAAACTCGGACCTAGACCCCCTGCCCATCCCCTTCCTCTCCCTGGCCCCTTGACGTCAGCGTGACTCCTGCCCCCATCCCCTCTCTGCCTACTCTCCAAACCCACTGACCCCCAGGGGGCCCTGACTCCAAACTTCCCCACCTGCAGCTCCCCAAAAGTCGCCGGACCCTCCCCCGTCCCTCTCCTCTCGGTTCCTCCTGAATCCTGTCACTTCCACGTCCCTCCAGCCTCAGCCGCTCACCCTCGTTCCCCAGGCTCCCTTCAAGATCTTTATCCTGGCCGCAGCTCGGCGGGCGGGCTGACCCGAAGGCTCCTTGCTGGTAGCTAAGTTCGCCGAAAGCCAGTGAGGCCATGAGCCAAGAGCTCAAGAGTCTTAACGGCCAGATCCTGCCTTTCTCCCCAGCACCCTCGCCCGAGTTTCCTTGCCTTTCTCGTCCCTCAGCTCCTCTCTTGTCACTTTACCCCGCAGATCCTGACTGGGCCTCTTACACGCTGGGACTCTTCATTTGTCTGAATTGTTCTGGTGTCCACCGCAACTTCCCTGATGTCAGCAAAGTTAAATCCGTGAGACTTGACTTCTGGGATGACAACCTTGTGGAGGTAGAAAGGGGTGCACAGAGAAAGCCCTAGCAACAGTAGGGCTGGCATGAAGGGAGCCAACAGCATTCTAAAGAGGAGGAAATTGGGATCCAGAGAGGGCAATAACATTATGGTTGTTTTGTTGTTGTTAGGTACTACTGTAGATAGAGATCCTGAGTTCAAATCCTACCTCCATCATTTGCTTATCTACAACCCTGAGCTAGTTACTTGACTCTAGTTGTGGTCCCTCAATTTCCACATCTTTGTTAAGGGGTCACCATCACCGTGTGACAGAACTCCTGAAAGACTGAATTATAGGCATCAGTTTTATTATTGAGGAAGTTCCTAGACTGGAGCAGAAGTATCCTTGAGTCATGGTCTATGGTTCCCCCACAATCCCCACTCCCCTCCCCCAGCCAGGAAGGGGACCACTTGCTCTTGTGACCCCTGGGGGTGGGGAAGATATTTTCAGCCTGGATGATAATACCATTTTGGCCAGAAAAACCTTCAGAGGGCAGGCAGTTTTAAACCATGATGGTTCTGCTGAGGATCTACTGGGAATGCAGGCTGGCATCTACTGGGCGTTCTATACTATGCTCAGCACCCTTGCGTTAGATGCTGTCTTCATTCCTTCATTGAATGAGGATAGGGACTTTAAGCCTACTATGTGCTGGGTACTGGGAGAGCGCTGTGAATAAAATGAGATCCCTTCCGATATGGAACTTACATTCTAGTGTAACAGACAGGAAACCTGAACACTTGAAGATGATTTGTATCACATAACTCATTTTCCAGGAGGATACGGTTTTCTTTATTTTCACAAGTGAGGTCTCTGAATCCCAGGGGGTGAAGTATTATCTAAACATCACACAGCAAATGAATGGCAGGGTAGGGATTTGAACCCTGCTCTCTTAAGATCCAAAACCATGCAAATACCTTGACACTATCCACTGGTCCCTAGAAAGGGATAGAGTTGGGTTTACTCTGCCCAAGGGATGTGGTTGAAAGTCCTGTTAGTTCTTCCTATGCGCCCTTGTCCCAGACTTGCTGAGTGCTGTCTCATGTGCCAGAGAGGCACTCACCATTCATCATCCTGACCTATGTTCTCTGTGGGGTGAGCATCCACTATTTCCAATTCCAGCTCCCTCTGTCTCCTGCAGACTTGCAGAAATGGTTGCTGAGAGTGCTAGCCATCTGAGAAGAGGGTAGGAGAAAGAACATGGACTTGGGAGTTAGACAGGTCTGGATTCCAATCCCATATCTGCCACTTACTAGCTGGGTCACCTTGGGCAAGTCACCTAAGCTCTCTGAGTCTCAGTGTCCACATCTCTAAAATGGGGATAGTAATATACAAATGATGAAGAGAATCAAATGAACTAATGAGTGAGAGGACGCATGGTTACTATTGTGTTTCATTTTCCAGGCGGGGGCATCCTAGCACATGACCAAGCCTGGTGGGGTGTCTCCCTCCTGAGCACAATGTCTCTGTCTTAGTGTAGTGCCAATGGGCCCCATGACTTTCTTGGTGGATGGTGGTTTCATTTCACATTTTCTGAAATTCTAATATCACCTCAAGTTGCTGTTGTCTTACAGTTTATGACCCACAATGGGAACCGCCGTGTGAAGGCCAAATATGAAGCCAGAGTCCCTATTTTCTACTATGTCCCTCAGGATGACGACTGCTTGTGAGTGGATAATTATTTAGGGGGTGGGGGAGGAACCTCCCTTGTCTCACCTCTCCCACCATTCCCCCATGTTCACTACCTCTGTCTGTGCTCTCCACGATAGATTTATTGTTGTTGTTAAGTGCCTTCGAGTGGGTTCCAACTCATAGCGACCCTGAATAGGGTTTCCGAGGAGTGGCTGGTGAATTTGAACAGCTGACCTTGCAGTTCAAACCGACCTGTGGTCCAGTGCATTATTCCACAGCACCACACTATGTAAAGGAGCTTTGGTAGCATAGTGGTTATGAATCGGGCTGTGAACCGCAAGGTCAGCAGTTCGAAACTACCACCTGTTTCGCGAGAAAAAGATGAGGCTTTCTGCTCATGTAAAGATTTACAGCCTCGGAAACCCTATACAGGGCCTCTATGAGTCGGAATCGACTCCAAGGCACATAACCACCACCACCACCACCTCACTAGTCAGTGAATAGTCCAGGAAAGCAGTGGTACCGTTTCTGTGAACAGGAGACCTGGTCTAAGCCCTGCTCCATCACTCTTAGTGGGCGTTTCACTTCTACTCTCTGGGCTTCAGTTTCCAAGAAAATTTTCTATGGTCTGTCCCTCTGTCTCTGATGGTCTCGTGGCCTGCAGATCATGGTTAGCTTGACAAGGGAGAGAAGTGCTGATATTTTAGTAAAATAAGTATGGTTCAGCTACTTCCTAACTGTGCCCGGGTTTATCCTGCCTATGCTTAGCTTGGTGCCAAAGCATTTGTTTGGTCCGTAGTTCCCTAAATAAGAACCATAAAAATAATACTAGATGCTGATTTTTACCTGAGCTTTAACTATACAAGGAGCCCCGTGCTAAGATGGTTATGTGCATTAGTTTGTTTAATTCTCTCAACAATCCTTGGAGATACATTCTTATGACCTAGATAAACTAAATTCTGAGGCAAAGCTGGGACTCACGTGTCTAACAGAGAGGTTCAAGTCCTCTGGAAGTTAGAGGTCAGTGGGACACTGATGTCTAGTGACCCTTGCCCTCTGAAGACTGACTTCCTGAGCCTCCATTCCAGGGATCCAACCTCATCACTATGGCCACTGGCCAGTGTAAATGGGAGGGCGGTGGGGGGAAAGCACCACTCTAGGCAGACACAGCCTCATGGGGGGAATGGCTTGCATGCTTTCTACACAGAAGACCAGCGTGATTCTTGGTTTGCCACTACATGGCTGTAAACAGTGGACGAGTTACCTGATTCTTGGTATTCTTATCTCTGCAGTGCAGAGAATGATGTTTGCATTGTAAAGATTAAGTGAGGTAATATATCTAAAGCACCTCACATGCCACCTGACACATGGTGGTGGTTGTTAAGAGCCATTAAGTCAGTTCTGACTCATAGCGGTTTCCAAGATGTGGCTGGTGGATTTGAACTGCCAGCCTTGCAGTTAGCAGTCCAGTGCATATCCTATAGCACCATATCAGGACTGCTGACACATGGTAGGCATTTCATAAATAGTACTTTGAATCCTGCCTACAATGTGACTTTCCGAATGCTGCCTGGTACCTGACCGAGCAGAGGGATGTGCCAGGCTCAACTTGCGTGGGCCTAGCTCATCTTGCCTCACTGCTGACATTCTGCCCTTTGCTCCAAGGGAAAAGGAATGAGCACCTACTATGTGCTAGACTTTCTGCCAGCACTTCACAGACATGACTTGCTTTGACTCCAACAACAGCTCTGTGTTTAAACACTTCTGTTAGTTGAATAGTAATGACTTCCTTCCCCCAGTTCTAAAACTCCTTGATTCCTTACCTCCAGGACAAGGATAGGTGGCCCTTGGCCACCATTTCTTCTCCCAGCTCTGGTCCTGTAGCCTGGGGCTCTTACCCCTGGGGAGGTTAAGAACTTTCCTCAGATCCTAGGTGTGAGAGCTGAGCAACAAGTGGAACTTTTGATTGTGTCAAACACTCAATTTAAACCACGTTAGGATTTTATGAGTTTTAGGGGTCAGACCACAGGAGGACAGCTGTGGACTCAGTCTCAGGAGGGACTGAGGACTCAAACACCATCAGGTCTCTTATACTTGATTTTTGATCTCTACTGCTGTCTCAACTGACCTTCCTTCATGCAGCTGTAGGGCTCTTGATTAATTCTTCTTTGGGTTTTTTTTTGGAAACAAATGTATATGATTCACACACAAAAATACAAACCCATATAACACATGTTATATGCACAAAAATATGGTGGCATTGTAGGATAAGCACTGGACTGCAAGGTTGGTTTGAACTGCAATATCAGCAGTTCAAACTCACCAGCTGCTTCTTAAAAACCCTATACTGAGTTGCTATGAGTCTGAACTGACTTTATGGCACTTAACAACAAGCTGGTAATATTAATGTCATATACCTCAAGTTCAGAGTTAAGTAACTTGTTCTTGATAACACAGTGGCTAAATGGTAGAGTAGGGTCAAGTCCCAGGTGGTTTGATCCGAAGATCACAGCTCTCTCCAGTAGACCCATGTATGCTGTAGCTAAGTGACTTCAAGTTGTTTTTGATTCATAGTCAGTTTATGCACAACAGACCAAAACAGTGCCCGGTCACATGCCATCCTCACAGTCGTCATTAAGCTTGAGTCCATTGCTCCTGTCACTGTGAAAATCCATGTGCTTGGGGTCTTCCTCTTTTTTCCTGACCTTCCATTTTACCTAGCATGATGTCTTCCAAGGACTGGTCCCTCCTGATAATATGTCCGAAGTATGAGAGACGAAGCCTCCCCATCCTGGCTTCTAAGAAACATTCTGGCTTACTTCTTGCAACACAAGATTTGTTCTTGCAGTCCATGGTACTTTTAATACTCTTCTCCAACACCATAACTCAGATGCATCAATTTTTCTATGGTCTTCTGTATTCCCTGCCCAACTTCCATATGCCTATGAGGTTATTGAAAATACTGTACCTTGGGTCAGGTGTTCCTTAGTCCTCAAACTGATATCTCTGCTCTAGAACATGTTGAAGAGGTTTTGTGCAGCAGATTTGCCTAATGTAATATGTCATTTGATTTCTTGACTATTGCTTCCATGAGTGTTGATAGTGGATCCATGTAAAAGGAAGTCTTTGACAACTTCAATCATTTCTCCATTTCTCATGATGTTTATTGGTCCAGTGGTGAGGATTTTTGTTTTCTTTACATTGATATGCAACCCATACTCAAGGCTGTGGTCTTTGATCTTCATCAGTAAATGTTTTAAGTCCTCTTCACTTTCAGCAAGCGAGGTTGTATCATCTGCATATCATAGGTTGTTTCATAGGTTGTTAATGATTCTTTCTCCAATTCTGATGCCTTGCTTTTCTTCATATAATCTCTCTTCCTGGATTATTTGCTCAATGAACAGGCTAAGTATAGTGAAGGAATATAACCCTGGCACATACTTTTCCTAATTTAAAACTATTCAGTGTTCCCTTGTGTTCAAACAACTGCCTCTTGGTCTACAAACAGGTTCCTCATGAGCACAATTAAGTGTTCCAGAATACTCATTCTCCACAATGTTGTCCATAGCTTGTCATGATCCAGTTCACACAGTTGAAAGTCTTTGCATAGTAAATAATGCACAGGTAAACATCTTTCTGTTATTCCCTGCTTTCATCCAAGATCCATCTGATGTCAGCACTGATATCCCTTATTCCATGTCCTCGTCTGAATCTGACTTGAACCTCTAGAAGTTCCCTGTAAATGTACTGTTGCAGTTATTTTTGAATTATCTTTAGCAAAATTTTACTTGCTTGTGTTATTAATGATATTGTCCGATGATTTCTGCATTCCATTGGGTCAACTCTTTTTGTAATGGACACAAATATGGATCTCTTCTAATCAGTTGGTCAGGTTGTTAAGTGCCATCCAGTCAGTACCGACTCATGAGAGTGACCCTATGCACGACAGAACAAAACACTGCCTGTTCCTGTGCCAACCTCATAATCGTTGCTATGTTTGAGCCCACTGCTGCTGCCACTGTGCCAACTGAATCTTGTTGGGGGTCTTCCTCTTTTTCTTTAACCCTCCACTTTACCAAACATAATATCCTTCTCCAGGCACTGGTCCCTCCTGATAATATGTCAGAGTATGAGAGATGAAGTTGCCATCCTGGCTTCCAAAGAGCATTCTGGCTGTACTTCTTTCAACAGAGATTGGTTTGTTCTTTTGGCAGGCCATGGTACTTTCAATATTCTCCTTCAAAACCATAACTCAAATGAATCAATTCTCCTGGGGTCGTTAGTCATTGTCCAACTTTCACATGCATACGAGGTTATTGATAATACCATGGCTTGGGTATTAAGCTGCATCTTAGTCCTCAACCTGACGTCTTTGCTCTTGAACACTTTAAAGAGGTGTCTTGTGCAGCAGATTTGCCTAGTGCAATACATTATTTGATTTCTTGACTGCTGCTTTCCTGAGTGTTGATAGTTGATCTGAGCAAAATGAGGTCTTAGAAAACTTCAGTCTTTTCTCCATTTATATGGATGCTGTTTATCAGCCCAGAGCTGAGGATTTTTGTTTTCTTTACATTGAAGCACAACCCATACTCAAGGCTGTGATTTTTGATTTTCATCAGTAAGTATTTTAAGTCCTCTTCGCTTTCAGGAAGCAAGGGTGTACCATCTGCATATCGCAGGTTGTTAATGAGTCTTCCTCCAATCTCATGCCACGCTTTTCTTCATATAACCCAGCTTCTCAGATTATGTGCTCAGCATACAGATTGAATAAGTATACTCAGAAAATATAATCCTGGCACACACCTTTCCTATTTTTAAACCATTCGGTATTACCTTGTTCTGTTCGAACAGTTGTCTCTTGGTCTATGTACAAGTTCCTCATGAGCACAATTAAGTGTTCCAGAATACTCGTTCTCCACAATGTTGTCCATAGCTTGTCATGATCCACACACTGGAAAGCTTTTGCATAGTCAATAATGCACAGGTAAACATCTTTCAGGTATTCTCTATTTTTAGCCAAGATTCATATGATGTCAGCAGTGATATCCCTCATTCTGTGTCCTCTTCTGAATCAGACTTGAACCTTTGGAAGTTCTCTGTCAACATATGGTTACAGCCAGTTTTTTATTATCTTTAGCAAAATTCTGCTTGGTCAGGTATCTGTGTTTCAAATTTGTTGGCATAGATGAGTGAGTGCCTCCAGTGTTGCATCAGTTTGTTGCAAGATTTCAATTTGCAATTCTATCAATTCCTAGAGCCTTACTCTTTGCTTTAGGATATTTGGCTCTTGATCTTCTTCCTTTAGAATCATTGGCTCTTGATCATATTCTGTCTCTTGAAATGGTTGAACATTATTCATTTCTTTTTGATACAGTGATTGTTTAGCCCTTCCATCTTCTTTCGATGCTTTCTGCATCATTCAATATTTTGCCCACAGAATCCTTCAATATTGCAAGTCTAAGCTTGCAGTTCTACTTCAGTTCTTTCAGCTTGAGAAATGCTGAGTGCGTTCTTCCCTTTTGTTTTTCTAAGTCTAGGTCTTTGCACATTTCATTATAAAACATGACCTTGTCTTGCCCAGCTGCCCTTTGAAATCTTCTGTTCAGCTCTTTTACTTCCTCATTTCTTCCATTTACTTTAGCATCTTTACACTGGAAAGCAAGTTTCAGAGTCTCTTCTGACATCCATTTTGGGTCTTTTCTTTCTTAATGAGCTTTTGCTTTCTTACTGTGTGATGTTCTTTATACCATCCCACAACTCTTCTGGTCTTTTGTCATCAATGTCCAATGCATCAAAACTGTTCTTGAGATGATCTCTAAATTCGGGTGGGATATGTTCAAGGTTATGTTTAGACTCTTGTAGACTTGTGCTAATTTTCTTCAGTTTCAGCCTGAACTTGCATATGAGCAATTGATGGTCTGTTCCACAGTCTGCCCCTGGCCTTGTTTTGGCTGATGATATGAAGGTTTTCCACTGTCTTTTTCCACAGATATAATCAATTTGATTTCTATGTATTCCATCTGGTGAGGTCCATGTGTATAGTTGTCTTTCATGTTGTATAAAAAAAGGTGTTTGTAATGCATAAGTCATTGGTCTTGCAAAATTCTGCCATGCAATCTATCACCAAAGCTATTTTTTTCATAACTACTGATCCTTCCTCTTTGTTTCCAACCTTCACATTCAAAAGACCAGTAATTTTCAATACATTTTGAGTATATATTTGATCAGTTTCAGACTGAAGAAGTTGGGTAGAATTTTTCAATTTCACCATCACTGGCCTTAGTGGTGGTAAGTAGTAAATTTGACTAATAGTGGTATTAATTGGTCTTCCTTGTTGGTATATGGATATTATCCTATCATAGACAGCATTATACTTCAAGATAGATCTTGAAATGTTCTTTTTGATGGTGAATGTGACACCATTCCTCTTCAACTCTTGAAGAGGATTTCATGAACGGGCCACACAAAAGAAGCTTTTGAGGACTCTTCCCGCTTAAGCTTATGAATATGCCATGGTAGAGGGCAATGTAAATGGATGGTTCAGGTTCCTGCCTTGTTGATCCAAACGCTGAGGTTGTAGTTGAAATAGCCAGTGATTATAAACTGGGGAGACTTTTTCTCCATTTAGAGGCATTTTTGGTTGTAACAACTTGAGAGTGGTGACGAGGGTGTTGCTGGTAGATAGTAGATAGATGCCAGGGATCCTTCTACGCATCCAGCAAAGTACAGGACCCTCCCCGACAAGAAAGAATGATGTGACCCAAAATGTCAATAATACTGAGGTTGATACACCCCCCACCGGATAGCGTGAGCAGACAGTAGGGCAACCTCTGTGGTGCCTCTACCCTCAGCTGCAAGTGTCTTGAAAAATGACCTGATAAGAAAATGCATCAGACACAGCTGACCGAAGGTTCTCTCTATTAAGGGTCTTAAAGGAACAATGGATTCGAGCAAAATATGAGAGACAAGAGTTTATGACTGATGGGAAAATCATCTCGTCCCCAGGTAAAGTGATTTCCATTAATTTTTTAAGTCTGTGTTCTAAAAAGTTCTAGGAAAAACAAGTGTCTGAGTATTAGAAGCAAGGTCCAACCAAGCAATGCCTCTAGCCCTTGCTCTGGCCACAGAGGATGATGTGTGGTTCTTCTGCTTCTGAAAGATTAGTAGTACACTAGCTGGTGGTGTCCTGTGGTCTGAACTGCAGAGAAGAAGAACATTTGTCTCGGGTCCTTGCAGGGCCTTTGTATAAATTGTAGAAAGACTCCTTCTTGCTGGGAAGACCCTTTAGAAAAAGGCATCCCTGCTCTTGGGTATTATAGCCCCTGGTGGGAGTAAGGAGGTCAACCTCCCTTCCTGCTTTTGTGCAGGTTACAACTTCACTGGTGGAAGTTTCTTTCCAGCTTCTCTGAATTTTAGGCAGACACTGACCTAGAGAGCAAAGTGTATAAAACCACTTTTTGAGGTTAAAAAACAAGAACAAACAAGCAAACCAAATAAGTCAACTCTGACTCATGGCAACCTCATGTGTTCCTGAGCAGAACTGAACTCCATAGGGCTTTCTTGCTATAATCTTTACAGAAGCAGATCACCAGACCTTTCTTCCACAGCACCTCTGGGGAGGTTTAAAGTGCTAACCTTTAGGTTAGTAGTTCAGAGCAAACTGTTTGTCCTACTAAGGACCTTTTTGAGGTCCAGAGGCAGCCAGTTCTCACAATCCATGCCAGTGAAAAGGACCAAAAGTACATAGACCTCAACAGAACCCACAGATGCCTGAAGGTCACTCAATATGCCTGGACTCAGTACAATTTTATTCTGTTGATGAAGAAGTGAATGAAGTTGAGTTAGAATCTGTTTTCTCAGTACTATGAGACAGTCCAGTGTCAGATTACCCAATAAGCACAGGCTTACTGGTGCTTACTGACTAATTGGTAGTAAACAATTTCTTTTATGTTTTTGAACATTTTTTTTAATGTTCAAAAATTTTGCTTCTAGTTATGCCTGACATCTGTCTCTCTTTAAACCGCAAGACACCTGTCCACAGAATCAAAGCTTCCTTTCAAGTTTATAATCGCTGACAGGGACAGAGTACCCAGTTAGCAGGGGTTTAATTGTGCTTGCTTACTAAATAAGCACAAGTAAGCCTGTGCTTACCTTACTTATAGGCTAATCTGCCCAAGACAGACTGAAACCAGGAAGAGCCAAGGAATGAAGGCTCTGTAAACTGGGCTACATCTAGCTGAACGTACAACAGGGCTTCAGAAAGTGCGTGGACAGATTCACTATCTATTCATTCTATTTTTCCACCAACTTTCTGAAGTGTAGTCTTCTAAGACACCATAGAATTAGGCCCAGATAGGAATCCTGTGTCCTACCACTGAAAGCACCAAGTTAGATGGGAGGTATTTGGGCAATAGATGAAAGGTTTGTTCCATCCGCGACCCTCTGAGGTGAGTGAGCCATGGGATGGTTCATCCTCACGTCATGAGTATTTGTTGTTTCTCCTTCTTGGGTCGCCAAGGTAACCGAGAAGGGTTCCTATGGAAGCGGGGAAGGGACAATGCACAGTTCCTGAGAAGAAGGTTTGTTCTGCTGGCAAGAGAAGGCCTCCTGAGGTACTACACTAAAGAAGAGGTAAGAGGGTTCCCTTCCTCAGCACGGACTCTCACCCCGCCAAAGTCTACATTTTAATCACTGCCATCTTGTGTATGAAGCTCTGGTAGTGTAGCGGTTACTAATCGGGCTGCAAACTGCAAGGTCAGCAGTTCGAAACAACCAGCTGTTCCAGGGGGGAAAGATGAGGCTTTCTGCTCCCGTAAAGATTTACAGCCTCAGAATCCCTGTACAGACTCACTATGAGTCGGAACCAACTCCATGGCACATAACAACAACAACAACCTTGTGAATGAAGGATCCCTGGTGGCATAGTGGTTGAGAGCTCGGCTACTAACCAAAAAGGTCAGGAGTTCAAACTCACCAGCTGTTCTGCAGAAGAAAGAATGTATAGCCTTGGAATCCTATGGGACAGTTCTATTCTGTCCTATAAGGTCATTATGAATTGTAACTGATTCTACTGCAATTGGTTTGTTTTGGGGTTCTTTGTGGATAATTGAGAATTAGGCCCAGCATTCTGCTACTTTTCTGTGGTTATATGATCATTCCAGCCCCCTAAAACACATACCTTCTGTTTACTTACAATCAACCTAGACTGATCCAAATAAAACTTGGTTTTATTTCATTTACTTGTTCTCTCAAGAAATGTTTACTGAGTAACTACTATATGCTAAACATTGCTCAAGGCCCTGGGGATGTAGTAATGAACTAAATAAAGCTTCTGTTCTCCTGGAGTTCTCCCTCAAGTGGAAGGAGACAGGCAGAAACCAGGGCATCAATCAATTTATATCAAGTGGGAATACGTTCTATGAAGGAAAATGAAAGAGGGTGAGGGGATTGAGAACTAGTGGATATCTGGGTGTGTGTGAGGGGGAGATGACGCAGAGGGAACAGTGTGTGCAGAGCCCTGAACCCATGGTTACCACATATACCTTTGTACCGATTAGAAAAAGATGGGTCCTCTGAGAAAGTGCAACCCCTCTGGGCCCAGTCTGAGCAAGAAAAAGGCTGGAATGTAGTTTTTACTCACCCTCTCAGCTGTCGGTTTCTGGATTTCTGGATGTAGAGCACAGTCAGCTCACCCATAAACCCTAGATCTGGCCCTGAGGTGGGAGTGTATTTGGTGGTTCAGGAGGCTATCAAGAAGGCCAAAGTGTCTGGTGTAGAGTGAGCAAGGACAGGTCCCAGGTTAGAGGATGATGAGGTCACATAGTGTCTTTGAATCGGTTCTGACTCATAGTGACACCGGATAGGGTTCTGAGGAGCAGCTGGTAAGTTTGAGCCACTGATCTTGCTCTTAGCAGTCCGGTGCTTATCCTGCAGTGCCACACCAGGACTCCAGAAGCCACACAGTAGATGGCCTCATAGGCCATCAGTAAGAATTTGGCTTTTTTTTTTTTAAACACCTTTATAGAGATATAATTCACATATCATACAATTCACCCATTTAAAGGATATAATTCAGTGGTTTTTAGTGTATTCACTGAGATTTGTAACCATCATCAAAATCAATTTCAGACCATTTTGTCACATCAGAAAGATATTTTCCACCCCTTATCTGTAATCCCCCACCTCCCTAGCCATGTTGCTGTGTGATCGAGTTGGTTCTAACTCATCTGTAGGAGCAGAAAGCCTCATTTTTCTCCCAAGGAGCAGCCAGTGGGCTCAAACTGCTGACCTCGTGGTTTGCAGTCCAGTGCTTATCCTCCAGAGCCCCCACACTCCCCAGAAAATAGATTAGTGGTTGTCCCCTGCTCCCACAAATATTTACAGCCTTGGAAACCCTATACAGGATCCCTGGGAATCAGAACCAGCCTGACAACACTTAATAACGACAAAAATCTACTTTCTGTCTCTACAAATTTGCCTGTTCTACATTTTGTATAAATGGAATCCTTTATTATATAGTCTTTTGACTGGTTTCCTTCACTTAATATAATGTTTTCAAAGTTCACCCATGTTTCAGCAACTATCAGTACTTCTGTTTCTATTGCTGTATATTTTATAAGGAGTAGTTAAGAGTTGGGTTGCTAACCTCAAGATCAGCAGTTCAAAAGTGCCAGCTATTCCACCAGAGAAAGATGAGGCTTTCTGCTCCCATAAAGATTTATAGCCTCGGAAACCCTATAGGATCACTATGAGTAAAGACTGATTTGATGGCACTTAACAACAACATATGGATATAGCATATTTAATTTATCTGTTTCTCAGCTGATGGACATTTAGTTTGTTTTCACATTTTGGCTAATATGGATAATGCTGCTTTGAATAGCCATGTACAAGTTTTTTTGTGCACATAGGTTTTTCTTTTGGGGGGTATATCTTGGAGTGGAATTGTTGGGTCATTGGCATCAATATTTTCACTGTTTTAGAAACTACCAAATTGTTTCCCACAGTGGTTGCACCATTTTACATCACAGTTACTAGCAATGGCCTATGGTTCCAGTTTCTCCATATCCTCACCAATGCATGTGTCTTTTTTCACATCCTAGTTCTGGGAGGTGGTATCTCACTGTGGGTGTGACTGGTATCTCATTGTGGTTTTGATCTGCATTTCCCTGATGGCTATTGATGTGCATATTGGCCATTTAGATATTTTCATCAAAGAAATGTATATTAAGGTCCTATGCCCTTTTAAAATTGAACTATTTAATGTGCTTTGGTAGCGTAGTGGTTAGGAATCGGGCTGTGAACCTTAAGGCCAGCAGTTCGAAACTACCAGCTGCTCCACAGGAGAAAGATGAGGCGTTCTGC